ATGTGAAGCATGAATATTATATGTCGAAAGAGGAGAAGTAACTTTCTTACATGAGATTCATAAACTTCTCATTTAGGGAAAGGTGCCTCTGTCATTGTTAAAATGATTTAATATCTTTTCCATCCTATGGGCCTCACTCTTCAATCTACCCTTCCTTTTACCTTCTGGGATGGGAGGAACTTTCTTTATAATAATAACAGTAGCCAACATCTGACTGGGTGTTCCCGGTTTACAAAACCATTCCATTTCCCTTACTTCATTTGACTGTCAAAACCACACCAAGATGCATGTAGGACAGGAAGTATTGTGTACCACACCCATATGACAAATATGGAGTCTGGAATATGAAAGGCATGAGTGACCTGGTCAAGTTCCTAACAGAGCACTAAATTGAGGAACTGAAATGAAAATGAAGCCTCCTGTCTTCTAATCTCACTTAGTTACTCATCTTACTTATTGCTCAATGGACCAAACTGAAAGGTTGACAGTTCAAATCTTCCTGGAAGCACTTTTGAATAAAACCTTAGTGATCTGCTTCTGAAAGATCACAGACACTGAAAACTGCTTGGAGCACAGGTGTGCTCTGACATACACGTGTACAGTTGACCATGAACTGAGCTGACAGTAGTTTGCCCCTGCAGTTTACCAAGGAGAACTAGAAATCAGAGTGCGATAGCGAGGGACACACATGGCAATAGCCTCTCTTCTCTCTCTCTCTCTTTCTCTCTCTCTCTCTCTCTCTCATTGCTGCTGAGTCAGCTGTGACTCATAGCTGACTTTCTAGGGGCATGTAAGGCTGTAGGTCTCATCGGAGGAGACTGGTTATGCTTCTCCTGAGGAACACCTGGTGGATTTGAACTACCAGGGAGGAAAGGTCTTTGGCCCAGCAGTACAGCTCTCTCTGCATTGCTCCTCTGAAGGTCCCTGAAAAACAGCGCCAGGAAAAGTGAGTTATCTCCAGGCTGAATTCATTCCATGTCACCTGAAGAATCTCAAATGTATTTCGTCATCCCGATCTGCTTAATACAGCATCTGTACCTTCTGTAAGGTTAAGCCTCACATTGACTTCCCCCAAATGAAGTTGTTCTAAGCTCTATCTACACAGTTTTCTGTACATACCATCTTTTAGGTTTAATGTGTAGAAACTGGTCAACAGGGACCCTTTCTAGGGCAAAAGTTAATGTCTCATTCCCTCAGCTCTTGGGATGCTATGTGAGACATTCCATAAATGACCAATTCCTATGTCTTCTACTGCCACTTAATTCCCCCATTTTTTTATTAATTTTAATGAAAGTTTACAGAGACTTTGGATTTCCATTCATTCATTGTTGCATCCATTCCCTTCACACCCCCGCCCCCGCCTCAGTTCACTCCTCTCTTTGAAAAGTAAAAGAAAAATTCTTTCATTGTTATACAATCCTTCCCCCCAGTCCACTCCACTATGCAGTCTTCGCTCTGGACTCCTGTCATGACAATAATACCTAATCACATATCCCTTTTAAACGGTTCTCTCCCTCATCTGTTTCAATGCAGTATACATTATTTATCCTCTCTGTCTTTCTCAACCCCCTTTTACTTTGGCTTTCTTGGCGAAGAGTCCTGTACGTGATACTTATTTCTACTACTTTTCTAGTTATCACATGAAGCAAGTTGCTGGATTGCCTTAAGATTCATTTAATCCCTGAAATGTGTTATTTATAATATTTCCTCGTGCGGCTGTTGTAGGGATTAGATGATGCAGAAGCCACAAGATGACAGGCTATTCACTGACTAGTCCAAAAAACACACCCTGTTGCTACCCAGGTAACTCTCTAGGTTGGAGTTGAACTTTCCCATAAGGTTTCTTTCATTTTCTTTTTTAGCTTTTTTAATTGTGATTTGAGTGAAAGGGAAAATTGGTTTTTCCATGCAAGCATTCATACACATGTTGTTTTGTGGCCTTGACCAATTCACACAATGTCAACGTACACTCCTCACTCTCTCCACTCTCCTTTCCATTCATCCTCCTCCCTACCCTTTCCAGTGTTCCAAGTTTCATCCCTAGGTGAATGTTACCCTTCTAAACTGGCATGAGTTATTGTTGGAAGGACTGTGTTCCTTTCTGATGCCTTGATCACTTTGTAGGCCTGTCTGTTGCTTGACTAGAAGTTGAGTCATGGGGATAATTTCAAGTCCAGGTTTACATGGAGCTAAAGGCTTTAGAAGTGAGGGTTCTGCCAGTCTCTATCAGATCAATAAGCTCTTCCACTTTGCACATCACTGTTTGTGCTGTATGAAGTAACCTGGGTTTGCTGTGATGCTGAGCCTTGTGCCATTAAGGTAACAAATACCAGAATGGTTTCCCATTGTGGACAGTGTTTGATGGAGCTTCCAGTTGTAAAACAGGTTGGAAAGCAGGAGTGGCATCCACTTCCTAAACTGCATGCCTCTGGAAACTCTAAGAACTTGGAGAAATGACAATAGTTATGGAAAGACGTTGTTGTTGTTGTTATGTGCCGTTGAGTCGCCTGTGACTCATAGCGACCCTATAGAGTTGCTGTGAGTCATGCTTGACTTGATGGCAATCAACAACAACAAACAACAACAAAAGTTTACAGGAAATCTGAATTTGTCATTCATTCATTATTACATATTTTCCTCCCTAACCCCCCATGCTGTTCACTTTTTTGAAGGTTGGGTTTTTTTAAAAATATTAATTGGCTCACAAAGTTCATACACATTGTGTTTCACACTATTCTTCACTCATTGTGTATTGTACAATCATTCCTATGCATTATGTTTTATAAAATCAATCACCATTGGACCTTACCATCATTAATCAATAAGCTTATTTATTTTTTAAATAATTTCCCCCCTATTTCTCTCCCACTCTATTAGAGAATCTTCTATTGTGATCACTATCAAAGCAATCAGCAGCTGTAGCTGGTTCCCAGCTAGTTCTTCTGGTCTCAGGATCATAGAAGGTGGATTTCTAGTGATCTATTAGTCCTTTAGGGAGCTCTAGTGGCCTAGTGGCACGAAGCTGGGCTGCAATCCTAAAGGCGTACTGTTCAAGGCCACCAGCTGCTCTGCAGGAAAAGGAGGTTTAGATTCATTTTCAGAAATGATGAGTGCTTTCTTATGCTGTCTTTCACCAGGGACATTTAATTAACACATCATCAAAGAAACATCTTCCATGGGGCTAAGGAATGAATGCTTATTGTTATAATTTCAGACAACAGAGACAAAGCAAGGTGATTTGCTTGGAGGCATGTTCCATTGTGCTTTTAGTCACTGCAGCTAGGGTCGGTTTTCAGCAAGTCTTTTGTGAACAGTTTAGGGAAAACCCCCCACATCCATCCTGAAGAGAAGGGAGACTCTTAGCCTCTCCGTTGTTTCTTGAGCGTTGGTATTAGAGAGAGCACTTTCATTGTTGCTATTGCTGTCAAGTTGATCTCAGCTCATGGAGGCCACAGGCACAATCAAATGCAAACACGGTCCAGTCCTGCATAATTACTATGATCAGTTGGAGATCAGATCATGCAATCCTTAGGGATTTCACTGGCTGATATTTGGAAGTAGAGAACTAGGCTTTACTTCTAGTCTGTCTTAGTCTGGAAGCTCTGCTGAAACTTGTTTAGCATCAAAGCAAAGTGGAAGCCCCCCTGCCACGTGGGTGGTGTCTGTGCATGAGACACACTGGCTGGCAATGGAATCAGGATTTTCCTCAGGAAAAGAGAGAAACTGCTTGTTCTTCTACCTTGTTCCTATTTTCTATCATCTTCAAACATGCTTAATCTGGCACCAAGCTTGAAGAATGTCTTAGCAGAGTGGGGGACATCATAGCAAAGAGAATTATTTCTTTTATCAGAGGACATTCAATCATACTTGAATGATTACATTATTACTGCTTCCCACCCCCCAACATGACTTACTACAAATCTTATACCAGGGAGAAGTTCTTAGCAGAACCTGGGGTACTGTTGAAACGTGTACATTAAACTACTTGATCAGTTGATATTGAGATTGGATATTGTGAAATTCCTTAAAGAGATTTTATAGCTATTTTAATTTCTACCTTGGAAATGAAATACACTCAACACTAATGACATGCAAAAATGTAAATCAATACTAGAACATTTGGTAATTTTAATGTTCATGGTTTTAAATTATTATAGAAAATATTTACATACATATATCAATTTTTTTCTTTTTATTTACTTGAAGGTTTACAGAGTAAATCAGTTCAACAGTTTCTATGCATTTTGTTTCAAGCCATTGAAATCTACACAGCGTGACAGCATCCTTCCCACTTGCTTCCTGTAGTTCCCGTTTCCACTCAGCCTTCTTTTCTACCCCTTCCTGACCTTTGAATTTTTTCTCTGGATAAATGTTGCCCTTTTTAATCTTGAGTGATTGATTATGCTAAGGAATGTGCACCTCTGTGGTGTTGCTATTTGCTTTATCATCTGTGTCTATCTGGTGGGTGAGACTCGAATTCAGGGACTGAGTTCAGTTTCAGGCTTGAAGGATGACTCAATGCCAGAGTCTATGGGGCTCCACAGGGTCTATTCAGCCCGAGAGCCTGACAGTCTCTATGATTGTTTTGAATCAACCGTGTATATTTTAAAAAGAAATGAGCAAAAAAAAAATTGTGTCTCCAGGCACTTTTTGTGTGCATGATTCACTTCTAAAAACAACTGGATTGTTTTCCAAAGGTAGCTGTTTCTCCATTGGTCCACTTCTCCCTCTGTCTTTTTTAGGAGGATGATTCCATTCAAGATTCTACTGGGGGGGGGGAATGAAAACACTGGACCCCGCTTCCCCTTTCTCACTCTCACTCTCATTTTGTGTTTCCTCTGCTTCCTCTTCACAGGGAAGACCCGCAGGAACAAGCTGTATGTTTCCTGGCACGCTTGAATATGTCAATGCAATGATGGCTAAGCAGGAAAGAGCCCTTGCGTGCTCCGCGACTCCCTCCTCAGAGACAAACGCGGGCGGGCCAAGGTGGACGTCCTACTTCATGTCTTGTAGTAGGCGTCCGTCCAGAGAGCTGAAGATTTCTTCAGAGCCCTGCAGGATGAATAATCGGAATCATCAGGAGGTAAGACTCTAATGTGAAAGGAACAAAATTCTATACAGGACATTTGCGTCTCTACCAGTTTGAATTTCAATCGTATCCTATAAATGGCTTTTTCTGTTTCCTACTCAAACTATTACCTGAACCAACTCATAGGCGACTCACTGTTGGGTACCTAGGACTGGACATTGCATGGGAAGAGATGATTCATTTTTCTCCTGCAGAGCTGCTGGTAGATTCGAACCTCCAGAGAGGCACAAACTTTGGGTAAACAGCATGAGTCCCTGAGAACAATGTCACCAGACCTCTCCGCCCAGTCTCCTCCTCCAGGAGGGAGTCTAATATACTCAACTGCTCTCAGCAGGTGAGTACACCTTTCCCTTTTATAGGAGATGTCTCTCCATGCCTTCCTGTTTTCCAAATCATCACGTTTGGTTTTTCTCTACTATTAACCAAAAATCAAGAAAACATCTTTGAGTTTATAAAAGAGTGAAGATACTTGCGTATCAATCCATCTAACCTATGCACCCTGTTTTATACATGAAAGAGCTTGTCTTATGCTCTGGAAATGTACCAATGAACAGACAGACATGAACCTTTGCACATGGAGTCTCTTTGTCTGGTTTGAGAGACATACTGAACACTAATCATGTTGTCAATATATAATTTAATCATTATTGTGATCAAGGTGGTGAATGAAAAGAACCAACAGCATTTAGGAGATTTAGTCCTGGGGGTCAGGAAAGACTGGCATGGGTGAGAAGTTATTTGTGTTGAGGCTTAAAGAGTGAATGGGAATTGATACAATGATGTGGAGGAGACGGTGGTTGAGAAGAACATCCAGGGGTAGAAGAAAAACAATGACAAGAGGTAAAGGGTTTTGTTGCAACTGAGAGGCCAGATATCTAGACAGCAGAGATGGAAGAGGGAAGAGTTGGGGAGTCTGGAGTTGGGACACTGGGAGAATGAGGTCATTCCCGACTTTCCAGTCTCATTCAAGGTTCTATATCCTTTATTCTCAAACATTAAAAGCATGAAAAATTTCTGAGCCCAGAATCTCCCCAAGAAAACCAACAAATGTACTGCCACTGAGTTGGTTTCAACTCATGCTAACTTTATTATGTGATGCAGAGTTGAACAGCCTTATGAAATTTTCTTATTTTTTGTTTTATTTTACGTGTGTGTGTGTGTGTGTGTGTGTATGTATGTACCATCAAATCGGATCTGACAGGTACAGGAAGAGATTGCCCCTCCTTCTCCCGCAGGGCATCTGGTGAATTTGAACTGCACGCCTCTGGGATTGCAGTGAAGCTTCTTGCCAATAGGCCACCAGAGCTCCCTTGGAGTGTTCTTGACTGTAATCTTTTGTTAGGGAATCCTGATGGCCTGGTGGGGAGGGAGTTGGTGCTGCCAAACCAAAGCCTGACTGTTTGAAAGCAGTCGCTGTTCTGTGGGAGAAAGATGTGCAAACCCCTCCTATGTGATTTGTCGCCCTTGAAAGCCCACTGATGCATCAGCTACAAGTTGGCTCTGACTCAGTGGTAAGGAACGTGCATCTGGATCTCTCCATATGTCTATAGTTATTTCATTCAGTAATTTTATAGCCATTTACGGAGTGTCCGCCTGGTACATGGTACAATTCTTGTTGCTGTACAGTTGTTTCCAATACTATATACACAGAGTAGAAATAAACTTCATAAGATTTTCAAGTCTGTGACCTTTGAGAAGCAGATTGCCAAGTCTCTCTGATGATTCGTGTGTGAATTCACCTTGCTAACATTCTGGCCGGCGCTCAAGTGCAACTCTGTGACCAATTCTTTTGGAACAAGGATCACTAAGCCTTTCTTTCTTAGCAGTGCTGAGTAAGTTTGAACCACCAATCTTTAGGTTTGTAGCCAAGAGTAAATAATTTACACCATCTGGGACCTCTAAATCTGAGTTAACTCCCCCAAAGTCACTGCGGTTGAATCACAGGAGAACACTGCGTCATCGGAGCTCCTTGGAACCCATGTCCCCTTTTAATTTGACCCATAGAATGTTTTGTTATGAAATTGGACGTCGTTGTTGTTGTTGTTTGGTGCCGTCGAGTCATAGACGACTCATAGCGACCGTATGAATGAACAGCCTGAGCACTGTTCGTACATAGAGTTTCTGGAGGCAAGCCTTTTTGGAAGTGGATGCCATTCCTGCTTCCAGGCAAATTGGACGTAAGTACCTTAAACATAAGTAAAGGGTTCAGTTCCTGTAGAGCCTATCACTTTTGGTCAATCACTCCATTTACGCCTCAGCACACCCTGTGGAATGCATGTTTGCAATCCTGGAGCAGATGGTTTGGGAGTTCCTGCCACCATGACAGTTCTAACTCCTATCAGGACACAGAAGAGCAATATGTCATTTTCCTTCATAAGCATCTACAAGTTCTAACGGCCTAGTGAGTAAGTACTTGCACTTCCAATCCAAAGGCAGGCAGCTTAAGTTCATGAGGAGGAAGATGAACAGTTTCCTTCTACGTGTTTTACAGCCTCCCAGAACTCTCTGGAGGGTCAGTTATGAGTTGGTTCCAAGTCCATGGGACCGAGCAACAACAGCAAAGGCTGAGTATTATCATCATTGTTTGTAGAACTGAATTGCCAGCTAGGATTTTCTTTTAGGGAGTTCCGACGGGCTGTAGGCATACAAGTACCTCTTAAATAATTTTTAAAAAAATAGCCTGAGGACTAACAGAGCAGGGACATGAGAGTTAAGCATGGAGAGAGAACGCGTTATTACCTGACAATATCTCCAAACGCCTTCAACATGGGTTTATCCACATACTGCAGCCCGTGCTTGGCACAGAGTGACCTCACCAATGGTGCCACTTTGTGATAATTATGGCGGGGCATTGTGGGGAACAGGCTAGGAAACAAACAAGAGAGAGAGAGAAAACTTAGAGCCAAACCTAAACACAAAAAGCTTCCTTTCCTTTTATACCGTGTAAAGCAATATAAATAATTCAGACTCAGCTATGACCTCGCATAATACTCCTTTTCTGGGAAGCGGAAAAACTCTTGCTCAAACATTCTTATCACCTAACACCTCCGCAGATTATGTGGGTGGCGAGTGTTTGAGAAATGCCAAGAGAATAAATATTAATTGCGTAAAATCTGTTTGTTTTTGGCCCGGTCAAATAAAGGGTTTGATGTAGTCTATAATTGAAATTTCTCTAAGAGGACTAGAAACTTCTTGCTCTCTCCGTATGACTCCCACGCCTTGCAGATAAGGGTCACACGGAAGAGTCCTACTACCCCTGAAAACCTGCGAGAGTAATTTTTGATGTGATCGTTTGTGACAACGAAAGTCATGCAGAGATGTGTATTCAATACACATTGCATGAAGGAAAAAGTTTCAAGAATAAGGAATGATAAGCAAAGAGATGTGGCTTCTTCTGGTGGCTTTGTGGTAAGGAATTACACTGCCACCTGAAAGGTACATGGTTCAAAGTCACCAGTTGCTCCACAAGAGAAAGATGGGCAACCAACTCCTGTAAAATTTGCTGTCTCTGAAAACCCACTGGAGGGTCGGGCAGCAATGAGCCTGTTCTGGCTCCATGGTAAATAACAGTAATCAGCCAGTCAACTAAACTTCTTAGGTTACATTTCTTTTCGTAAAATATTAAAAAAATTTTTTTTTTGTTTGTCGAGGTTTTCAAGGACAAATATGAAAAACTCTACGAGGAAAATGTCATGAGTAGGTAAGAGGTTTCTTTTCTCTCTCTGAACACAGGTAATCCTTGATTTATGATGCATTTGAGTTATGTCAGTCCAGATTGTGACTGTTTTCTTCTCTTTCATTTTTAGGTACACCTTATCATTAATGATGTGTACCATATGCAATCAGTCTTGCAGCCTGTGATTTGTTAATGTTATCATTTTTAGATAATACTCATGGTTGTTCATCGCTACAAATCTTTCAAAACAAACTTGATAGAAGGCTGTGAAAACTGAAAGAGAAAAAAAAATCCTCAACAAGAACTCATTGCCATTGAGTCAGAAACAATTTACAGCTGACCATCCAGGGACTTTTCAAAGGCTAAGAAAGTCCCCGAGAGGAGACTGACTATATTTTTCTCTCAGAGTAGTTGGTAGATTCGAACCATTCACTTTTGGCAGTACAACACCTTCCCCACTAAAGCACTCCCTTAAAAAAATATCAAAGAAGGAAGTTTTTATTGACATCAGCATGGAACTCAGCTGATCAGGGAGTATCCCTTTTCTGGAAACAGTTTAAGCAAAAGGGTCACAGAAAGGTTATTGTGGAAACATTCTGGAGAGATTGACAAAGCACCATGATTTCTTTTTCTTTAGGGCATGTTAACCTAACACAGTAGTAAAATGTTTCTAAATAACATTTATAGTTCACAACAGTGTCTATATTTCCTTGTTGTCTATTTTGTAACTGCAGTTCTAAAGAAATACGTATGTAAATGAAATCAAAATTAATTTAATTTCATATCAACTTGTTGACTCAAGCAGAACAATTTTTTTAAATCTCACCGGTAAACCAAATGCAAAGGAAAAAAAAAAAGATGGCCAATTTCTAAGGCTGTAGGAATTTAACACCTGTGTTGCTTTCCAAAATTCTGCTTATAATTGTCAACCTTCCCACCCACCCCTTCCCTTGACACTGAGCCTTATAACAACAGAATTGCTTTTGCATTATGTTGGTTTACTTGTTTCCTCCGAGATCTTGAGAACTGATTCAACATGACTACTCCTTTCCCCTACCACAGATTATTTTCTATTTCACTCACTGGTGCTCGATTTGGAAGTTCAGGTGTCCAGTGAACCAGTCATTGAAAAAGGACTGCTCAACATTACAGGTGGCCAAGACCTACAAGAAACATTCTGATATTAGATAAAAATAAGCCCAAGTGCTTTGAAAAGAATCTGTTCTTTTATTTAGTCAGTCATTCAACAGATCATATTGAGAATCTACTTTGTAAAAGACAAACAGATGAACAGACTGTAAAAGATGAACAACCCTGAGTCAGAAAAAATTTAACAATTTAAAGGGCAATAATACATATTTCCAAGATGATGCCTGTACAAAGTAATACATGTGAAAGAGTGCGTATGATGTGGGGAGACTAAGCTACCAATAGGACTTCAATCATGGTATTAGAATATCATCTAGGAAGAGAGCAAAAGGTCATTACAAAGACAAGGGAGAGAGAAAAGACAGAATAGATTTCAAAAGAAGCTCTGAAAATGACAATAGAGATCAAGAAGCCAAAAGAAAGGGAAGAGATGAACAGAAGCTTTCTAAAGGCAGCTACAGAAGACAAAGTATTCTTTTTTAAAATGAAATTTTTCATTTTAATTGTGATATTAATGGAAGTTTACAGAAAAGTTGAATTTTCATTCATTTACTGTTATATACATTTCCCCCCTGGCCCCTTCACCAGTTGACTTTTCTTTCTTTTAATATCTATTTGCTGTTGCACAATTAAAGCACCCGCCCTCCGCCCCCTGCCAAGTCCTCTTTGCAATGTACCTCTTATTAAAGGCTGTTGTCATATACGTGAGGCCTAATCATAGATTCCTTTTAAACAGTTATTTCCTTTATCTGTTCCAATCCAGTGTTCATTATCTATACACTTTTATCCTATTCTCCTCCCAATCCCCCATGTCAGTCCTGCTTTACAACAGTGGTACTATTCAGCATTTCTTCTTTTGTAACCGAGATATTTCACCCAGAATAATTTATTCCATGGTCACCATACTGTGTAATGTTTTATGAGTTCATTGTTTTTCAGTGTTGTGTAATATTCCATTGTGTACAATACACTACACCATAGTGACCATGTGTCATTACCAACTATTTTTTTCCCCCAATCTGTGGCTTTCTTTTTTACACTGTTGGAGTTTTTTTTATATGCATAGGGATTTGATTCTTGGAAGGTCCTCATTTATCTATTTTGATCTCTCCTGGTTGTAGATTTTTCATTATGCTTGGAAGACTTTTTATACTGTGGATTAGGGGTCATAGAGTTCTTCTAAGCTTTTCTCTGATCAAGTTTATGGCTTTTAGTTTTACTCTTAGGTCCTCAATCCACTTTGAGTTGGTTTATGTGTGTGGTGTGACATGTGGGTCTTGCTTCAGTTTTCTGCAGATGGTTTTCCAATTTTGCCAACACTATTTGTTAAAAAGACTGTCATTTCTCCCCTCCCCCCCGCAAATGATTTCATTTCCTTGCCAAAAATCAGTTGAGCACAGGTAGATAAGCTGATTTTTGGGATCTCAATCTTATTTCATTGATCTATGTGTCTGTGTATTATTATTTTTTAAAGCAAAGTTATCACAGTGGAATATGCAGAGAGCTGGAGTTGGAGAATAAACAGGGGAAAATGTACTCAGCATTTTTCAAGCTGAAAGAATTAAAAATTAAAAAAAGTCAAGCCTCAAGTTGTGGGCAAGATCTTGAATGATCCAGGAAGCATCACAGAAGATGGAGGAAATACACAGGGTCACCAAATGAACTGACTGTCAGGGGACCAATGTAGGCAGATGCATAAGATAAAGAGTCAATAAAGGGAGAAGTTTAAACTTCACTGAAGACATTGGCAAGAATAAAATGTCAATAATCGATTGGATGCCAAGTGAGAAGTTTCAACGAACAGACTTAGCTCTAGATGTGTTCACTGGTTTGGACCAGGAACTTTGGGAGACAGTTACCTAGCCAGTTGACTGGAAGAGATCTATTTTTACTCCTATTCCCAAGAAAGCAAACTCAACAGAATGTGGAAATTATACAACAACATCATTAATATCACATGCAAGCAAAATATTGCTGAAGATCATCCACAGAATGTCTAGAACAGTGTATTGACGAGAGGTACCAGAAGTTCAAGCTAGGTTTAGAAAAGACTGTGTCACCGTGGATATCACTGCTCATATCAGATGTATCTCAGTTGAAAGTAGACAATACCAGAAGAATGTCTACTTGTGTTTTGTTGACTGTGTGAATCATATCCATACACTATGGATAACATTGAGAAGAATGGGAATCCCAGAACACTTGTGCTCATGTGAAACCTATACCTAATAAATCAAGAAACTGTCATCTGAACAGAGCAAGGGAACACTGCATGGTTTAAAATCAAGATTTGCACCAAGGTTGTGTCTTTTCTCCATACTTATTCAATTTGTATACTGCGAAAATAATTTGAGATGCTGGCCTATATGAAGAGAAATGTGGCGTCAGTATCAGAGGAAGATCCATCGACAACCCGCATCATGTGAATTTCACAATCTTGCTGAAAGTAAGGAGGACTTGGAACTCTTGCTGCAGAATAGCAAAGACTACCGCCGTCAATATGGATTACATTCTGTAGTCTAGAAGACAACAATTTTAACCATTGGGGTGATAGATGGACAAATGATTGAAATTTTCAACAATTTTGTCTTGTTTGGATCCACAATAAACATCTTTGGTACTAGCATTAGTTAAGAAATCAAGAGATGTGTTGTACTGGGAAACTCTGCTGTTAAGGACTGCTCTGAAGTTAAGGAGCAATGAAGCCAATTTAAAGAGTAAGGTGCACCTGGTTCACATCATGGTCTTTTAAATTACTTGCTATGCACCTGAGAGCTGGACAATGAATAAGGATGATAGAAGAAAAGTCAAGATCTTTGAGTTGTAGTTTTGGAGACATATACTGAACTTGGATTGCCAAAAGAACAAACAGATATGCCTTGGAGAAAGTGCAACTAGAGTGTTCCTTAAAAACAAGGATAGTGATGTTTCATCTCACATTATTTGGGCATGTTGTTAGAAGGGGGTCGTTCCTTGGAAAGGGCCATCATGATTGGAAGGTTGGAGGGCCAGCAAAAGAGAGGATGACCTTCATGAGATGAGTTGACTCAGTGACTGTAGCAATGGGGTCAAATATGTCAGAGATGATGAAGTAAGAGGAGGCGTTGAGTACGGGGAAGGGGAGGAAGTGAGGGCAGAAGAGAAGAGGCAGCTGCTGCCACTAGTAAGGAACCTTAGTGACATAGTGGGTTTACCCTATTATTATCCCTTGGATATGGGTGTTGTGAGAACTGAGTAGAAGAATTTTGGTGTGTGGATTTGTACATGGAATTGTAGGAGTTGGAATACCACCCTCACAGAGTCGACTTCTATATGAGTTAAGATTTGGTGGACCTATAACCAAGAGCTCTATGGAATTAATTGTATTATAATGTAAGTGACTTCCTTTGCAATACTACTTACTTATATTTTATGAATTTAGCAAATTATTGCAAGAAAGAACTCATTATAAGTGTCTTCATTGCCAAAAAGCTTATCTAAAAAAAATTTTAAAATTACTACTGATGATATTTTATTTTACAGTTTCTAAGACACAATCCTAGTTTGAAATTTGAAGTTGTTGCCACTTTGAATGTTGTTTTTGTGTTTTCTCTATGCCAATGTTTCTCAAAATCTTGGGGTTCAGAAGAACTGCAACACAAAAATTATTCTTTGGGGGTATTTTGACATAGTCTACATATCTTATTTTCTCATATTTTATGGAGGCTACCAAGAATGTAATTATATCATTACTGTTAAGTGACATTCAGATGAAAAATTTTGGGAACTACCATTCTCCGGAGTTTTAGAGAGCTCTGTGGTCTAGTGGCTAGAAGTTGTGCTGCAATCCCAAAGGCATGTGGTTTGAGGCCACCAGCTGCTCTGTGGGAGAAGGATGGACAATGAGATTAACTGCCACTGAAAACCCACTGGAGGGTCAGCTATGGGTCAGTTTTGACTCTATGGTATACAACAACAAGAACAACCACAACTGTTCTATACCTTCCAGAAGATTGGCTGAGTTTTGAGATGACATTTAAGAGGCAAACAGGATAATCATAGCATGGCCAATGGGAAGGAGATTGATTTAGGAGGCAAGGGTGTTCTGTGATGGTTAGAATTCTGTAACGTACTAACAGCATATTAGGAGAGCATGCCATGTCCTCTCTCTGAGTCTCTCTCTACCTATGCAATAGAAGAGATAATTTCCAGGGTTCTTCCAGCTATACATATCATTACATAATTTTAAGAGCCTCAGATTTACTTCATAGACTATAGCATGTGGGGTTTAAGAATGAACATCAGAAAAGCCTTTCTTTAAAGTTCTAGGTAAATATTTCAGGTCATGATTGTAGTTACTCAACTCTGCCTTTTGTAGCACAAAAGTAACTATAAATTTAAAAAAAAAAGCCAAACACGTGGCTTTTCTGTTGATCCTGATTCATAGAGACGCTATAGCACAGAGTAGAACAGTCCTGTAGAGTCTCTAATCCTTTCAGAAACAGATGGCAATATTTTTATTCTGTTACGCTACTAAGCAAAAGGCTGCATGTCTCTAGTGGTCCAGGCTCCTTGACAGAAAGACAGATAGTCTCTTGTTGAGATTTGCAGTCTATGAAACCTTAAGGGCTTCTGTGAGTTTTTATGAGTAGCAGTGGCATCAAAACCAGTGAGTTTTCTTCTTGGAGCAGCTGGTGGATTTGTGTCATCAACTTTTGGTTAACAGACACTTATCCTCTGTGCCACCAGGGTTCCTAAAATAACCATGTTGTTGTGGTAAGTTAGAACTGACTCATAGCTGACCCTTCAATAGGTTTTCGGAGGCAGTAAATTGCAAGAGAGAAGATTGCCCATCTTCTTGTGGAGAAGCTGGTGGATTAGAACTGTGTACCTTTGGGATGGTAGCACAGCATAAACAAGTATGGCTGTCTTCCAATAAAATTTTATTTGCAAAAACAGTCCATCAGTTGGATGTGGCCTTAGGTTTTAGTTTGCTGATCTCTGGTGTAGAGCAAATTCTCTGAAAAATCAAACTACTTAGATTTAAGACTAGCCTGCCTCTACCACTTAATAGCCATGTGTCTGGTTATAGGTTATCAACCTTACACTTTGTGTCTAAAGTAGACATAATCATAGCATCTACTTGACGTTGCTGTTGTTAGGTGCCCCAGTTTGACTCACAGGACCCTATGAACAATGGATATAAACCCTGCCCTATCCTCTGCCATCCTTTGATCTTCGTCAGCAAGTGCTTTTAAGCCTTCCTCACTTTTAGAAAGCAAGGTTGTAACATCTGCATAATGCAGGTTGTTGATGAGTCTTCCTCCAACCCTGATGCAACATTTTTATCACAAAGTCCAGTTTCTACCTGATTTACATACAGTGCTCTAGACAGTGCCTGTCTTGGGAAAGAATTTGGCAAACAGAATAATTACAAGAAATTATCAGACTCAATACTCTGAGAAAAGTCATTCCCGGAAACTCCGTCATTACCTGAGTGCTGATCCAGTCCTGGTTTTCCTCCTGGCTCATTTTCATTGGGATGTGGCTCATCTGGGTCACATATGTAATCCAAGGACTTTCAAGAAGTCTTTCAGAGAATAAAAGGAGGAAGTGATGACTCTTTGGGAAGTCTCAGTTCTAATTACTGGGCTTGCATAATCCCTGACAGAGCTGACTGAGCATTAGAGAGGTCATAAAAGGGATTTAAAGCTTCTAGTGAAATACTGGTTGTTCATTTTTCTATTTGGAGACTCGCTGTGGAGCCCCTGATACTAGAGATGGAACGGTAAGCATGAAGTCAAGGTCACCTCATGCAGAAAAAGTGCCTTTAAAAATGCTGTAATGTTGGCTCAACGACATAATGATAATACTATAAATGGAATGTATGTGCAAAGTTGGTTGACTGCTTGGGTTTTGTCATCAGATAGACCTGAGTTCAAATTCTTCATGTCACTGACTGGCCCTTGCTAGCTGTATGACTTTAGGGAGTGATTTAATCTGAGTTCCGGTTTCCTTTAAAATGATATTATCTAGATTATAGGGCTGTTCAGAAGGATTACATCAAATAAGATAATGCATGTAAGCACTTATCAAAGTACATGTTATATATTAGTTTCAATTATCAGTATTATAATTTTGAGATTAAAGTAATGATGCGACAAAATGATGAGAATGTTAACTGGGAGGTTGAAGAGGATTTTCAGTCACATGATTCGTGGAGTAATTTTGATTTTGGGAAAATGGCTAGTCACAAAAGAATTCTTTTTGTCATCTTTGGAGATATTATGTTATCCAAATGCATTATAATTTTAAGGAATTTGGGGATAAACTAGAATGCCAAAATTGAGAAGCCAGCAAGTGGATAAAAGCAGAGTGAGGGAACTCTGGTAGCCTAGTGGCAAGAAGCTGTATGACAATCCCAGAGTTACGCTGTTTGAATTCACCAGATGCCTTGCTGGAGAAGGAGGGGCAACCTCCTCCTGTACCAGTCAGATCTGATTGGATGGCACACACACACACAAATAATAAAACAAAACAAAACAAACAAACAAAAACCCAGAGTGGACCAATTCTCACAAGGAACCCATCTTGTTCCTATATTTGGGACAAATCTTCCAACCATCTTTGCCCGATGAAACCCTTTAAGACCCAATGGCCAAGGAGAGTTGCACTGAAGATGTGGTCTACTTTTCCTTCATCTCTTGTGAGAGATACTTCTTGTGATTATCCCCTAGAAAGGATGGTGAAGCCTCATCTCACAGACCCTGGGCATGTTGCTAGGAGAGGCTATTCCACAGAAAGGGACATCACGCTTGAGAAGGTGCAGGGTCAGTGAAAGAGAGGAAGACCCTTAATGAGATGGAGTGACACAGTGGCAGCAACAACGGGCTCCAGCGTGTCAGGGATGAGGAGGAGGGCACAGGGCAGGACAGGGGTCAGGTACGTGTTTGTAGGATAACTATGAGTTGCATTTGACTAGACAGCACACAACAACAACAACAACAACAACAACAACAACAACCATAATCTTAAAGTCATACGGCCCCATTCCCCTCTTTCTTATGGTGTACCTCACTCATTTGAAACAGATAATAAAAATTTTGATCACTTTAAAACTTTATCCTAGACTCTTGATAGAGCATGGCCCTCTAGATAGGTGAGGTAAGCATCCCCTGGCAAGTGTGGGGTCTCAGACTCCACCCCAGATTTACTGAGTCCAAATCTACATTTTAACAAGATTTCTTAAGGACCTCTAGACACATTGCTATTTAAAAAAACACTACTCTTGTCCAGCTCCTAATCCTTATCAGTTTGGGTAATTCTATGATTTGGGAAGAAAATGCCAATGTGAAAAGAATATTGAGATGAGAATCAGAAGATTTCACATTAATTAAATCTCAATCTCTCTCTCTGTCTCTCCCGCCCCTCATCTCTCATCTCTCTCTCTCTCTCTCTCTCTCTCTCTCTCATGGTTTCTCAGTTTTCCTTTTATTTGAGACATAACTAAGTCAGTCTACTGCGGAGCCATTCTAATGCAGCTGTGTATAATCTGCTCTAATCAATATTGTATTTTTTTGAGGCAGAATGAGAAATGTAGAAAGGTGGGGACATTTAGAAAAAAAGCCATTTTAAGTTATAGTTATTTAAATCTTTTTCACATTTGTTTGGGAATGCCTCAGGTCAAAGGGATTTTCCATGTCATAATCTGCATAATCACAAATATCTCCAAGGAGAAAACGAAAAGAGCATGGTCTATGGGAATGAGATAATGTTCCTGCGTTCTTACTTGACAAAATGAATGAGCAACACCGTTCCGATGATTCCATAGAAAGGGCCAAAGGTGATGAAATATCGGATGTAAAATGTGATGACCCAGGCGATGTCCTACAGGGAGACATATTTGAAAGTTAGATGTGGCCTGAACACATTTTCACTTTCTTCAGTGGGATGAATTCCTTTCATAAGCTGTTTAAATATCATATGCCAACAATCCAGCAAGTTATATCGGGATGGGGCCAAGCATTTTCCCTTTCCCTTGCCTCTCCTACATGTCTTTGGTATCAGAGAATGAGGTAAGGTACTTACTGCCCAGTATCTTCGAAGGTACATCACTTGCATGGATTGCAGGTTGAAATACACAGGCATGAGCAAGGGAACAGCAACTGAGAAAGAACAGAAAGAAATGATGACACAACAAAACCACGTGCAGGAAAAGCCATAACATGTCAGCCCTGAAAGGACTCCCTTGAAGACAGGCACGAGGCGGAGATTCAGAACCACATTCTGGGTTTCAGTGAGCTTTCAGGGCCTTTGATATTGAACCAGGATTTGATGGGATCCATTGAAGGCTAACAATCTCATTGATTAAACCTCTGTGGACAAGCTCCCTTGAATAGTCTGAAATGTTGAATCATTCTTGCTGAAGAGTCTAGAAAAGGTTTTGCTATGAACTTTTCATTGCTTTCAAAGGCCATAAAATCTTTTGGTTAAACTTTTTGTCCTTATGAGACCGAATTGGTTCACTCAGACCAATGCCTCTCCCAAGTTATGTAGTATTTTTTGAAACCCTTGCTCCTGAGTGCTGTGCAGTATTCCATCATGTGAATGTACGACATGATGCTTACACATTTAAAAAAAATATTTTGATGTTCACAGTTCTGGGGTCTTGAATAAGAGTATATCAGGGTGGAAGAGAGAAAGAAGTGACATTACTTATTTGTGAATGAGTGGCTTTCACTTTTTCTCCTCCCCAGGACCAGTGAGTCTGTTCAAACTACCAAGAAGCCTTGTGGAGGCCATATGGGTTTGATTATGACTCAAGTGTCCTTAAGACGCCGTGCTGGCATTCAATGGCGAAGCGTGCAATGAAGTAGTGCTTGGTTACTGTGTGGTCTTGGAGGTGGACTTTTGACAGCAAACCCATACCTTCCCTTCATCTTTTGTGAACTAAAAGTATAGTGTAGATTAGGAAGAAAAGACATACTTCTCCGGAGAGTTCAGAAAAGAAACTTCAATTGTTTGTTTCTTGTTCAAACACATTTGGAGGTAGGTAGTTTCAAGATAAAGGTCACCAGATTCCAGAAATAGGGAGGCAGCACAGATTGTTGGCCATCACATAGTAAAAATGGGCCCATAGTCCACCCTTGACTCATTAAGCATATTGCAGATAATCACACATCCAACATTTGTTCCAACCAATCATTAACAGCCAGTTTTTGAATCTCAATAGAATTGAAATGATGGGCTGGTATAGCTCTTCGCTGCTGGTTTCTCTTCTGTTTATTGTAGGATGTTTAGCAGCATCCCTGACATATACCCACTGGACACCACCAATACCACTCTTTCCACTTCCCTGCAATAACCAAAAATGCTTTTAGTTAGTGTCAAATGTTACTGGGACAACAAGGTTCCCTCATTTGAGAGTTTTATCAATTCGCCATGAATGTTTGGGTGTATAAAGCATGTTTCAGATAAACAGATTCCCCCTTCCCCTTCTTAAAATATTTCCTTGTCAGCTCTCATGGTCCTGGTTACGTATCATTGTTATCTGACTCTACTATGTGTAGTGACCTTATGTACAAAAGAATGAAACACTGTTCTATCCTGAAGCACCTTCACAGGTGCCTATTATAGCAGTCACTATGTTAATACTTTTCTTTTTTCACTGACCTTCTATTTTACTAACTATGATGTCCTTATCCAGGAACAGACCCTCCTGATAGCATGCTCTCTAGTGTAACCTAGTGGGTAAGGAAATGCGCTGCCAATCCAAAGGCAGGTGGTTCAAATGTGCGATCTCCTTCCATGTGATTTAAAACTCTGAAATCCCAGAGCTATGCGATGCCTCTGGCTCAGTGGCAAGGAGTTAGTTTAGCTAATAAGTTAAACAAAATCCTGTCATCCTGCCTTCTAAGGACTATTCCAACTAAACTATTTCATAGATCCATATGTTCTTTTGACAGTCTGGGTATTTTCAATTTCCTTCTTCAACATCACAAGTAAAAGCACATGCCCATTGTTTTGATGTTCTATGATTTTTCTCCGTTCATTTGTTGATGGACACTTGGGCAGCTTCCATCTCGTCATTATTGTGACATAATAGACGTGGGTGTGTGCACATCTGTTTATGTCACAGCTCTGGGTTCTTTACGGTATAGTCTCAATAGTGGGATAACTGTGTGAAATGATATTTGTCTAACTTTTTGAGGAAGTGCTGGACTGCCCTACAAAGTGGTTATACCATTTTATATTCCCACCAGTAATGTCTGAGTTTCCCTTAGATGAGTGATATAAAAAACAAGTCAAGGTGGATCAAGGGCCTGGGAGGAAAACCAAAGACAAAAATGTCATTGAAGAAAAATTAGAAACAATTCTAGAAACCTAATCTATGGCATAAATGGACTTCCAATTATAATGTAAACCCTATAACTGGGAGATAGATGAATAAGACCTTCTAAAAATAAAATCCTGGCGAGCTCTGGTGGCCTAGTGGTAGGAAACTGCACTGCAATCCCAAAGATGCGCGGTTCAAATCCACCAGATGCTCTGCTGAAGAAGGAGGAACAATCGCCTCCTGTACCAGTCAGATCCAATTTGACGGTACACACACAAAAAGAATAAATAAACAAACAAACAAATAAATAAATAATAAAAATAAAATCCTATGTACATTAAAAACTTCCAATGGGATTAAAAGGAAGCCCACAGACTGGAAACACAATTCTTTGCAATTACATAGCTGATAAGGAATTATAGCTAAAATTTATGGAACAGTCCAGCCCTCCACAAGAAAGAGGCAAACGACCCAATCACAAAACAGGCCGAAGCTATGAATAGACACTTCACTAAAGATGAAAGTCAGTTGGTCAAGAAACACATGTAGAAATGGTCAAAATCCCTTGCTTTGAGAGAGATGTAAATCAAACAACAATGAGCTATCATCTCACCCCAGTAACAACAGCAAAATTCAACAAGATAACAAACTACAAATGCTGGTGAGGGTGTGAAGTGATTGGAAATCGAACTTCTTGATTGGCACCTTGCCTTCGATTCTTCTTCAAGTGTCTCAGGCCATCCTTCATCTCCCTTGCTGGAGACCCAGAAGGATAAAATGCCTGTTAAAAATGCCCAACTATGCTCTATTTTTCTTTTCAAATTATTTTTTAAAATGTTTTTATTGGGGGGTGGGGAGGGATGGGCGGGGAGAGAAGTGCAGCAATGAATGAATGAAAATCCAAAATCTCTGTAAATGCTCATTAAAATTATTAAAAAAATGGTTTGGCAAAAAAAATGTTTTTATTGGTTTTCATGCAATAATTAATTTCCTTAGTGTTTCATTCACATACATTGTGTTTTATATGATCTTTCCTTCATAAACTTTGTATTTAATAGAAATTAATGGCCACTGATCTATGCTCCTTACTTCACCATGTTTTCAAGTCCCCATTAAATTAAATTCTTTGCCTAGTTGATCTGAAATAAGCCATTCTGTTTTTCTCACCAACAGTAAGATATAGGTGGGTTTCTTTGTGAAAAGACTGGCAAGTAATTAAGGGAATGGAATTCATGGAATGTGGTTCCAACGTGACTCACCCATGTAGAAGTATAGGTGCTGCTTTTCATAGTTGATATACTTGATTTTCTTCTGGCCATACTGAATGAAGAAAGAATAAAATGAGGAAGAGAGAAAAAACTACTGATTTTCATATTCAGATCTCTCTCTCTCTCTCTCTGTGAGAGAGAGAGAGAGAGAAGGAGAAATATCAAGGGAGGTGCTTCATCTAAGGACCAGTGTTCATTAGCTATGAAACTCGAGACATGAGTATAAGGAGAACCAGGATGGGAGGGAATATTATGGTGTCTTCAAATGTGGGAAATTATTTTTTTTTTAAATTTTTTAAGTGTGTGTGTGTACCATCAAATCGGATCTGACTGGTACAGGAGATTGCCCCTCCTTCTCCAGCAGAGCATCTGATGGATTTGAACTGCTCATCTCTGGGATTGCAGTGCAGCTTCTTGCCACTAGGCCACCAGAGCTCACCAAATGTGGGAGATCCTTGCACAGAGTGTTTGGTACACTGAATCATGAAGACTAATATTTTTTCCATTCTGATGGAAGTCACTTTACCTCCTTCTGCTTATATTCATGTGAAGGGTGACTGGAGAGGTATGGGACATTTCCGAGGAGTTTTTCTTGCTCTTTTACGACTATAAACTGTAGTGCTTAGAATCCTTAATGCTCAGGCTCCATTTACATTTGTTTATTCATCCAACTCGTGGATTATTGAATGGCCACATCAAATCTCATGCAAGCAAGACCATTCATGACTATTATGAAATGGATCTCATCCTGTGATGAAGCGGTTATTGAAGGTTGTGGCTTTTTTTTTTTGTATTCTGCTAGTTCAATGTACTGACCTGTCTTCTAGGTGTACAACTCAACAGCCTGGTTAGACTCTGAAGAGTCATTATCAGCTGCGTTTCTCTAGCTCATGTTGCCTCAGAGATAGTGAGAAGGCCCTGGGCAGGGATTGCTTAAGCAAAACAATATGGGTTATTATTACATTGACTCCTGTGGGAGGTTGAATTCAATGACCTTGGAGGTCATAAGTTCCTCTACTCACATATCCTTTTTTTACAAGTCTAGCAGCAGTTATTTTGAATCTATGTCCTGGATTTGAAAGCAGGAGAGATGCTCTCAAGTGTGCTTAAAGCTGGGACAGCCTCCTCTTTCTCAAAGTAGCTGGAGCCCTTCCCAGGAAGTACTTTGTGTTTATTTCTCTGGTGTCCAGGATTCTAATTGTACCTTGATAGGTTGTAATTCTCCAAGCAGGAAAAGGGGGCCCACGTCGACGTCTGGGTCTTTGGGATAGATGTTCGGTTTTACATGATGTTGGAAATGTCGGTAATTCCACCAGTTTGTTGATAAACCCTGAGGAGGAGAGAAGGTTTACTTGTTTAACGATACAAGTTTCTGTAATATCGTTCACTAATAGAGTTTTCTGCATACATACACGTAGAATTAAGATGTTTCTGTTTCTCAACATTGTCTCCATTGCCAGAATAGAACGATTTATTGACTAGAGACTCATCCAGCCCATGAAGAAGGGCTTACCTGACCCATCAGAGACCAGTTTCAGGGTAACATTACTCCTGATGGTGAAAATCATAAATGTACATAGAAACAAACAAACAAAATGTTCATATTTTATTTTTAAAATTCATTTTAATTAATTAAAATGAATTTTAAATAAATTTATTTATTTGTTTCTCTCTCTCTCTTCCCCATTGAAGTTAAGGTGGTATGTTGTTATATGCCATTGAGTTGACTGGATTTCTTGATTGCTACTATGATGGTTCGGGAGTTCTGGTGGCTTAATGGTAAGGAGTTGCAGCGCTAACGCAGAGGCATGCTGTTCTAACCCACCAGCTGATCTGAGGGGGAAAGACAGACGATCTCTTCCAGTATGAATTGTTTTTGTTAGGTGCCGTCGAGTTGAGTATGACTCAGAGTGACCCTATGAATGAAAGGTCTGCACCCTGGTCTATCCTGCATTTTCACAGGGTTTTCAAAGGCCTGTTATTTAAGAAGCAGATGCCAACCTGCTTCCTAGTCTGTCTTAATCTGGAAGCTCTACCAAACCCTGGCCACCAGTGTGAATTACAGTCTCTAAAAACCCAGTGGAGGGTAAGCTATGAGTTGGTTCCAACTTGATGGCGCATAACAAAACTACCATACTGTTGACTGTAGAACCAAGTAAAAGAAAATGATTGACAACTTCAATCTCTTCTCCTTCTATCATGATGTTGTCTCTTGGTCCAGGGGTGAGGATTTTCAGTTTCATCATGCTGGGATGTAATCTCTATAGAAAGCTCTGCAGTCTTTGCTCTTTGGTAGTAAGTACTTTAAGTCCTCTTCTCTTTCTGAAAGCAAGATTGTATCATCTGCATAAGTTGATCTTCTTCCAACTTCAATGCCACATTCTTCTTTATATAGTGGAGCTTCTTGAATGGTTTGCTCAGCATACAGAATAAATAGGGATGGAGACAGTACGCAATCATTATTCACATTTCCCGCTGATTTTACACCATGGAGTGCTCTGTTGTTCTGTTCAAACAACTACTTTGTGGTCTATTTTGCATGGGCACAAATAAGTGGCCTGGGATCTCATTCTCCTCAATGTTAGCCATCATTTGTTATGATCTCCATAGTGAAAAACGTTTGCATAGTCAAGAGAACACAAGTATCTTTCTGGTGTTCTGTGCTTTTAGTCAAGATTCTTCTGACATCAGCAATAACAAACCTTGTACTACAGGCACTTCTGAAACTCGATTGAGTTCCTAGCAGTTCTATGTTGATGTTGCATGTCATGCTTGGGAGGGTGGAAGGATAGCACAAGAGAGAAAGACCCTCAGTGGGATGGGTTGATTCAGTGACTGTGGTAGTAGGGGTAGGTGTGTCGGAGACAATAAGATTGACACAGAATAGAGGAGGGGTTAGGGCTGTTGTACATAGGGTTGCTATGAGTCGCAGGTGACTCAATGGCACATAACAACAACAACAACAATATTGATGCTATGATCTAGCCATTTTTAAATAATCTTCAGCAAGGTATTGTGATATTAATGATATTGTTTGGTAATTTCCACATCCTATTGGAGCAACATTTTTGGAAACAGGAACAAATATGGATCTCTTCCAGTTGATAAGGTAGCTATCTTTCAAATTTAGAGCTTTTGAGGAAGGCCAAGGTTGCATTTTTTAGTTGGAATACACCAATTGGAATGAGATCAATTCCTGGATCCTCGCTTTTTTTGCCAATGTCTTCAGTGCAGCTTGAAGGTCTCCCTTTGTCATGATTTTTTTAAAAATGATTCGGTGTAAACCATTTTTTTAAACCCAGTGATTGTGTGTTCTTTCCATCTTCTTTTGATGCTTCCTGCATCATTCATTATGTTGCCCACAGAATCCTTCAGCATTGCAGTTTGAGGCCTGACTTTGTTCTCTAGTCCTTTCAGTTTGAGAAATGCCAAGTATATTCTTTTTGTTTGTTTGTTTTCTAACTTCAGCTCTTTACACATTTTGCTATAATATCTTGCTTTGTCTTTTCAAGCTGCTCTTTGAAATGACCTGTTTATCTCTTCTTTCAGCATTTATTCTCCTTTTGCCCTCTCTACCTTCTAATGCAAGTTTGAGTCTCTTATTACCTCTGTTTTGATTTTTTTAAAAAAAATTCCTGCTTTTTAAATGATCTTCTGTTTTTTTTTTAAATGAACTTTGTCCTTGATATCATCACTCAATTACTTTGGCTTTTGGTCATTGGTGTTCAATGTATCAAATCTATTCTCTAGATGGTCTTTAAATCAGGAATAATACACATTGCTGTACCTTGGTTCTCCTGAACTTGTTTTCATTTTCTTCAGCTTCAACTTGAACTTGCAATGAGTAGGTAGGGTAGAGATTAGTATTCCTATTTTACAAATAACGAAATATTAGCCTGGAGCCTTTAATGAGTTCTGGGGAAAGAATGTCTTAAGGACTCCTATTTCAATGGATATTTCAAAGAATCATGGATCTGAAGTGATCTCAGGAGGAGACTTGGCTCAGATTACTGAATGCAATGCCCTCAAATAAACAGGAATGAGAGTAAATATTTTCTAGCCAGTGCCAGGCCTGAGCCATCTTTGATGAGGCTGTATCTGACTCTCTCTTACCCTTTCTATCTCAAGGAACTATGCCAATTAAAATAGAGTGAACGATTTAGAAGCTTGTCAACCCAATTTCATATACTAACTGCACAAATATTGCCTATTTAGTTTGGACAAATTATGCTTCATCTTTGGAACTCAATTTCTTCTCTAGCAAATAGTATGATAATGTTTAATACCGTCAAAGTTTATCTGAGGAGAGAAATAGTGCTGTAAGCTAAATGTTGGCAGATAGAAATGAACTTTCTCTTCTTTTCTCCTATTATAGAAATAATTTCTAGAATAATGAACAGTAGTAGTAATTTTTCCTTGTGTTTAGTGGCTGCATATGATGGCTAAGAGCTTGAAATGTTGCACACCCATCTTTATTGCGGCTTTGTTCACAATAGCAAGGAGTTGGAAACAACCTAAGTGCCCATCAA